CATTAGATTGATTTCAACTGACGACACTGTTTATCTATCATACGTTCGATAATTGCTGACGACATTAAATGGTCTGTCACAAAAAAACTTCAATGCAAAGGCATGATACTATTAGAAGAAAATACAAAATTGAGTGATCAAAGACGAAATCCAAACATAGGATATAAAAGTCATATGAAAATATATAAATTAAACATATGAATTTGAAAATAAAAAGTGTTTTAGATCGTTTGTATTTATAAAGGACAACTAGTCCAATCGGCGGGTCCTTGATTTAATTTGGCAATTAAAATGCCTACTAAAGGTTTCAGAAATCTTAAAGCGTCAAGTGAAAACGTTTATAACCGAAGATGAAATACGCTGATCAGACGCATTTAATTACAAATGATGACAATGTCTGGATGAATCGTAGTTTTGACAATTGCAAACGATATAGAATTTCCTCTTACGACAAATAAGCTTCTTTGATACCGTTTATATGCCAAACCCATTTATGTTTGATAAACGTGTTACCTGAGGATAATGCATCGTGACATTTCGACTCTGAATACTTGTGAAACCTGCTCGTTATTTACTTTTGAGACGAATCAAGAAAAAAAAGGGGGTTTTGACGCCCGCGTGGGTGTAGCAATGAGCAAGCTCGTCCTACCTGGGACACTTTGGAAGAATCAGTTAATTTACAATTGACATATTTTGTACAAAAGGAAAACCATTACAGGTGCACAGTAACTTTACAGTGACCTAAAAAAAATACATCAAGGTAAATGGACAAGTAATCATTCAGGGTCAGGCAACGGTGCATGACAGTGGTTCTTTGAAATGCAATTCTGTGGAAATATTTCAAGCTGGCACCATTTACCCCAACAATGAACTTACCTGTAAAGGAACGATAGAGACGAGGGGCCAGACATCGCGGTTAAACTTGGGGAGAAATTACCAGAGCCTCTGAAATTTCGGCTGATGCAGTAATTCTGCAGGATGGTTAACAGAATCTTACAGTAATGAACCGAAGACAAGTCAATCCTATCCAATGATACATAATTAGTAACTTGCTACAAAAAGGCTGTAACCTCATGAAAGGGTTGAGCTGACAAAATTCAATTCTTGGCTAAAAAGAATGGGTAGACTTCACACTGCTGTACCGTACTTCACTGTGGCGCATGTGACGCGTTTGCCTCTCTCTTGCAGGAGTTTGTTTTGTCAGAATTTAAAGTTTACTTTTATCCTGAACTTTTTGGCCTTCATTGTGGCCTGTTTGCATGGATAAAGTTGCTCCATAGTATACGTGGGCCGATTCTGGGCTTCAACTCAAGTCAAAACTCGTCATTTTGAGTGATTTTGTTTGTTGCGTTGTTATGAAAGCTTTGTGGAAAGTTTGGCCATGTGACTTTTACACAAAGCGCAATGACTAC